AGCCCGGTGCACGGTTTCCGAAAGTCGCCGCGGTGGCGCCACTCACGGCCACGCCCCGAGCGCCCGTTACCGCGCCAACCGATTGGCCCTGCCGCCGCTCTCCCACCACGCGACCATGACGTCAAGCGAAACCGTTGGCTACGCGGAGGCCATTATGGTGGCCGCGTGGGTGGGGCTCGTAATTGGCCACGCCTACCAGAGCCCGACGCCTTCGGGGCAAAACGTCGTACGCGGAGGTGTTCTCTTCTACCTGTCCGCCGGTCCCTTTTCGTTCGTCGTGCGCGCACCTAGCCGCCACTACTCCCGACAGACTCCGTCGGGGGTATAAGGCTCGGGAAGATACTCGGAGACCACGCTCCGGGTTGCTTGTATGCATGGAGCGCAGTTTCGCCCACCGTCGTAACTGCCCGCTCTCCTCTATCGACCGCCGATTCCACGGGAATTGAGGGTTGAGGACTCGGTGACATCTGGAACGCGAGTGGATTCCGCTGTGGGAAGTCGTTTCGACGGTTTCATTTGATTTCGGAACGAGTCGCGATGGTTTCAGCGATTTTCTGCATGTGCATTTTCCATGGGAAATTTATCGTTGATGCTCTGGTCCGTATCGAATTCATTTTTTCTTCGATCCGATATGAAATGGTAGAATTTGACAGGCTTCGATTCGAAATTGAGGGTGGTAGTAGCTCCTCGCAGGATTTTTTGGTTTGGAAAATATGGTTTCGTTTGTTGAAAACCAGAAATTGTACAGAGATCGTACTGGAATGCGCGAGGTAGCTCCGAAATGCAAGTATCCGCGGTTTGCTATGATTTTATTCTGGTAGGCCACGATTCAAAGAAAACACCACTTATTCGATGCACTTGCATACAAATAAGGAATTAAGAACGTGCATAGTAATAAAAGACACTCGGACGTTGCCGTGACAGTTTGACAACAGACGACGTCCTTGGCTCCGCCCATTAACCCACCGCGAAAGGAGTGGACCGCTGGCAGACGGAGGTGGAGCAGCTCGTACGACACGTTTTTCCGTTCTCATGTATAAATACACGCAACGTCGCGGCTATGCCCCCCGGATTCATTCTTCGGAAGGGAATTTTTCGCCAAAGGGATTTCACATGATTTTTCATGGAAGCCTTGAATAAATCTTCGAATAACTCTTCCTGGCAGAAAATATTCAATAGACTCACTTAAAATAATTACCACATAAATTAATCGAAAAAAAATATGAAACCTGAATATTGAAGGCACGCAAGACTATAAACACGGTGTGACGAAAGTATTCAACTACATTTTAATGCCTTCCAAAAAAACCCGAACGATACGTCTCGAGTCTTTGAAGTACGTAAGAAATCTTTATCCTCCTGTTTTCTTCATTATTAATGGAAATCTTCTTTCCGAGAAATACGTGAAATACAGTCTAGCACATAAAAATTCCATAAAACGCCTTTGATCCCGCAAACTTTCCCACTGATCTCTTCAATCTACCCAGTGCCCGTTTCAAAGGCACATCGAAAATTGCATACCGGGAATAGGTGTAACGCGAGCTGTGACCCAAATTTTCTTTGAAAGATGCTAATCTCGCGGGAGGTCGCATTATAGGTAATAGAATTTTTTATCGGGCCAATTTCGCTTGGAGAGGCCATAGAAGCCGGTAGCATGGCGAGGGCGAAAAAAGGAATAATATGTGCGGGACGAGGAAATTTCGTAACGCGACAGCTCTTTTCGCTGATCCTATCTGTGCGTGTGGCACGGTGGACAGGCGAAGCTATGGAAAAGAATCAGATCTCGTTCGGCAAATATTCTAACCTTAGCTGATTCCCCGTGAGTCACCGTTCTTTGAAAGTGTTCAATTAATTCGATAAAAATGATTTGGTAATTTCAAGGATACGCAGGAATCGCTTCCATAATCTTATAATTCGCTCGTTATATCTATAAACACGAAGATTCAGTGATACCACGGCGAAGAACAAATTTTCACAGCGGAAAATGCCACGATATTGCAGCCTTGAAATCAAATTATCACAGAAACACCGCGAACAGGCCGGTATATTTGTCGTCGTCAAGTATTTAACGAGCTGGCGAACATTGTCGTCGCGCGGTGCCACCTACCGTTTGACAGCAGCTCGGATGAGCATTATTGGCACTCTTTACGCGGCGAGATTAGAGCTGACAAAATCAGAGCGACAGAAACGTCTAATTAAGTCGAAAGTCGCCGGAACGATTGAGAAACGACATGCTCCTGGCCGCCGCCGACGCCGCTACCACCGCGCTTTATCTGATCGCTCCTAATCGTCTTCCCAGAATTGACGTTACCTCTTTTTTTTCTTCTTCTTCTTCTGCTTCTTCTCTACTTCTTCTTCCTTTTTATTTGTCTTCCACGGCAATTTTTTCATCGCTCCGCTCCATGGATTCATTGTTTACCCTTGCTCAGCCAGCCGGCGGATCATAAATTTACCCAACCGAGTAATTGACAAACGATGATTTTAATTAACGAGGCCCCGGATTGCCTCCGAGGCAGAGATAGAGGGCGATAGAGAAAGACGCGGGAGCGAGGATCACGGAGAGAATCGGGAGCAGAACGGTTGGCGACAGAGACCGGCCAACGCGAGGACATTTCTTCGGCCGAATGATAATTACGCCTAATCAGTCGGCGAGCACGATTACCGGCTCGGCCACGGGTATCGTCTCCAATGATACTAGTTACCGAGATAATACCCCGTTCATTAACATTGCATCACGTTCCGCCGGCGCACACCTACTCGATACTTCAATTACGCGAATATTTATCCCCGATACCGTCGCCTGGCCACGTGAGATTAATTGCACGACGCCGGACAATAGAAGCGTACGGGGAATTAGTTTCCATATAAACAACGTCCACTTCTGCACCGCTAACTTTGCTCCAAACGATCGAAACCCGGCTTCGATCCTCTTACTTCCTTTACCATTCGTTCGAGCGTTAAATCGTCATTACATTTTCCACTCGACATTCAACTTCAAGTGTTCCTTACGCGAATAATATTCAGTAGACTCTAAACTCGTCACTTTTTCATTCAAATCGTACGAAGCAAACTTCCTACGTCGACAACGTTAGTCTCCTTTCACTCTGAATGATTAATCCCACGAAACTCCGAACTGGATCGTAACGAGAGCCATAAAAATCCACAAACACAAACCACTTTCCCATTTTTCCGATAGAAAGGACGAACGAAAAAACACCTGGCCCCGATCTAAACGAAGGTGTCCATTTCTCGACAGATCGGGCATCGTCGATGGCGCTCGCGGCCGATTTTTATCAGTGGGTCAAAGTCTCGAGGACAACCAGTCCGGTGCCGCAAAGTGGAATGGTATCCGCCGATGGATAAAACCGGATGCAAAAATAAACCGGCGTATCGCCGCCGGTGCGGTACTTAAAATCGAATTTTTCTACGTCTCCGCGGGAGAAAATCACTTCCCTCTTGATAATACGGGGGTACGGGAGCGCCCTCAGGTACGGCACTAGGCCAAAAGAGCGTGGCACGCTCTTACAGCGCGAAATTACATTGGGGGGCTAATTGCACGGCGGCGGTAGCGCAAACACGTGTCATCAGTTGACCACCACCATCACCGCCACCACCACCACCAGCACCGCCGCAGCCGCCACCGCCGCCGCCGCCGCCGCCGACTACCCGCCACCATCGGCATCGGTATGGCCATCACCATGCAATGCCCATGGTGGGTAGCTGCCGCGGTCGGTTGTGTACGGTGAATTACGTAATTGAGGTAAATGGCGGCTATCCAGAGTGCGGGGAACTGTGCTAAATAAAATGCCATTCAATTAGGCGACGAGAGGAACCCGCGTCGACGTTGCTGCTCTCTGCCGCTGCCTACGACTGCCAGCCACCGCAGAGAACTTTCCTAAAGCCGATAGGCCCTCCCGCGCACCACGGAACTTTCTACTTTAAAAAGATCCATCCCCCTCCCCCGGTTCATCCCCCGCCCCTGCGCGGCATTCGTCTGCCGCTCGTAAGAATCGACGGATAATTGGAGACCTCATCAGCACGCCTTTTACCTTGTTTTTCACGGG